TTTCCCTTCCTCTCTCTTTCACACACACGCACACATTGAACATGTCACGTCACTATATATGTATGTGTTTGTGTATATACTAGAGGCCCGGTGCACAAGATTCATGCACTGGGGGGAGGGGGCGCCCTCAGCCCTGCCTGTGCCCTCTCACAGTCCGGGAACCCTTGGGGGATGTCCAGCTGAGGGCTTAAGTGGGCCTAAGACGTCAGTCGGATATCCTTAGCACTGCCACAAAGGTGGGAGAGGCTCCCGTCACCGTCACGGCGCTCACCAGCCACGAGCCCAGCTTCTGGCTGAGTGGTATGCCCCCTGTGGGAGCACACTGACCACCAGGGGGGCAGCTCCTGGTGGTCAGTGTGCCTCATAGTGACCTGTCTTTCTGCCGTTTGGTCGATTTGCATATTAGCCTTTTATTATATAGGATTTTTCTTGCATCATTTGAGAGTAAATGGCAGACATGATGCCCTTTACATCTAAATATTACCCCCAATATTTAGTGTGTCTCCTAAGAACAAGGACATATGCTCACAAAACTATAGTTTAATGATCAAATCTAGGAAATTTAATATTGATACACTAGTGCCTAACCCAGTCTGTATTCCAGTTTCACCAGCTGCCCGAATAATGCCCTTTGTAGCAGTTTTGCCCCTTGATCCCGAATCCAGTCCCAGATCACACAGAGCAGGCAGCCATCTGTTTCTTAGTCCCCTTCGGGCTGGGAGAGTCCCTCAGCCTTCCCTTGTCCTGACATCCACGTTTCGAAGAGTCCAGACCAGGGTTTTTGCAGAATGGCCCTCAGAGTGGGTCTGTAAGATGTTTCCTAGCTTGGATGCTTGTTGAGTGTTTTGGGCAGGAAAATCTCAGGAGTCATGTCCAGATGAGGGGTTAGTTTAGGGCAGTCGGGTGGCAAGATTGGATGGGGTGGGGGAGGGGCAAAAGTGAGAGCAGCCAGAATTGGCAGACTCTTAAGTGGGGGGAGGGGGCGACGTCAGAGCTCATTTGGCCAGTGGCTCCTGGGTCTCTAGTTTGGGGAAGGGGGACAGTGGTGCTGCCCCAGGAAGGGGTGGCAGGTGTGGGAAGTGTGGCATTGGAGCCGTGGTGAGCTATCTGGAGGCACAGTTGGCAAAATGAGAGGCAGGCGGGGTCAGGGGGTAGGGAACTGTGGCAGCTGTCAGTGTGTCTATGAGGAATAGGTCCCTGTTCTCTTCTCTCTCTCTGTCCCCGTGTCTGCCTGTGTGCCAGAGGGACCATCTCCACTCGGCCCCTCGCTGTCCATTCACACGTGGTCACTTGCTGCCTCCCCTTTCTCAACCCTACGGCCTGGGTATCCAGATGCTGGCCTGTCCTTGGCACCTGTCCTCGGGGGGATCTGGGTCCTCTTTGGCCAGACTGGGGCCTGGTATATTTAGTCCTGGACCCAACCCAGGCCTGGCCCCCTGACACCCTCTGCTGTGCCCCCAGGCCTCTTCAGCCCCCTCACCGGCCCCCAGAGCTATGGAACCCTGGAGGAAATGATCTCTGCTATCAACCAGAGCTCCAAGCAGCTGCCCATCTGGTTCATGTCGACCCACAGAATTGACACGAAGGCCGTGGTGGTGCCTGAGGAGCAGCCCCTCATGCTGGAGTCTGTGGAAATGTACCTCGGGGTCTGCTCCGCCCGCTGCGTGCTGGGCACGGAGGCCCAGGTGACGGTGCTGCACCTGCCCCTGTCCACCAAGGGGCCCTTCTGGGAACTGGAGACTGGGGCCCCGCAAACCCTGCTGCAGGCCCTGGCCCTGAGGGACCGCCAGCTCACCTGCCCTGCCTTCCCCTGGCGCTCCTTGATCCTGAGGCCCCAGTATGAGATCCTAGCCATCATGCACAGTGAGTTGTCGGGGCAGGTGGGTGGAGGTTGCTGGGGGAGGGAACGAGGGGGCCTGGGGAGCAGCTCTGATGGAGGACCCCCGCCCACAGTCTGGGGATTCCAGGTGCTTACGGAATAGACTCTCAAAGAGTGGGAAGTAGGTGTAAAAGGAGATAGGAAGATAGGGTAAGTTGAGCGTGGGGTCCCAGGATTTTATAAAATTGCGGGAAGTTGGGTTGTGAGGTACTAGCAGCCAGGAAAAGAGACCAGTGTTACCAAGCAACACCTTGACCCTTCGCTCGGAGAAACATGTTTGCCTGCCTCTGGGGAGAGCAGTATTGTTCCAAGGGCCCTTCTGTCGGTGACAGGGCACCGAGGGGAGCCCCCAGCCGCGCACAAGCTATTTCTCAGGGCAGGCTGGTGGCAGCATGCAGAGCAGGGCTGGTGTCCAGTCAGAGGCCGAGCCTGAGCAGAGGTAGAAGAATGGTACCTGGGGCCTCTTCCCTAGAGGCCAGAGTTTGAGGTTCGGCTTCCTGGCAGTTACCAAGAGCAACTAGTCGGGATTGCTGGCAGACGACAGAGCCAAGTGGGGATTTTTTGCCTTGATTTTAAAAAATCTTTAAAAGCTACTTTACGCCCAGCTGGTGTGGCTCAGCGGTTAAGCATTGACCCATGAACCAAGAGGTCACTGGTTCGAATCCCAGTCAGGGCACATGCCTGGGGTTGTGGGATGGATCCCTAGTAGGGGGCGTGCAGGAGGCAGTGGATCAATGATTCTTTCTCATCATTGATGTTTCTATCTCTCTACTCTCTCCCTTCCTCTCTCTAAAATCAATAAAGGCATATTATAAGAAAACAAAACACAAAACACAAAAACCTACTTTACTATGTAAAAATTCAATCCATTACAAAAGCAGGGAGGAATATAACAAACATCATAAACATCCATGACCCCATTACCCAACATCATAATTGTCGACTCACTATCGATCCTGTTTCATCTCTCCCAGCCCCCCTCTCCCCACTCCATCTCACCTGATTATTTCAAAGCAAACCTTAGGTATCATAACCTTTCTTTTGAAAATACTCCAATATGTGTCTCTTTTTTTAAAATAAAAGGTGTCTCTATTTTAAAATGTGACTCTTTTTTCCAAGGCACTGGAGTGTTTAAGAACACTTGGTCTGACAGTGCACCACGCCTAACAGTCTCCCCCAGTAGTCCTCCGTCTGCTGGGGCCCTGGCTGTGATTCTGTTCGGATCGCCTTCCTGACAAGGCATCGTTAGCCATGGGTCTCGGCTGACAGGACGCAGCAGCAGCACTTACCAGTCACATCTGACCACGCTTCACGGCAGGTGCTCCTGGCTGCGGACCACATGGCCCTCCCGGCCTGTTTTCCGGTTTTTCTCCAGCTCCACTTGGTCTGATGGATGATACCCATCAGCACTTCCGGCAGCTTGAGCTGCTCTTTGGCTTTGGAGACCACTAGCTTTTTGGGGTTTACATAGACGTTCATGTCTTTGTACTTCTATTGGATAACAACTCCTGTTTTCTGATTGGACTGATGGTTTTTTATTTTTTTAAATATGTTTTTATTGATATTTTTAGAGAGAGAGGAAAGGAGAGTGAAAGAGAGAAAAACTTCAATGAGAGAGAAACAGCCAGCAGCTGCCTCCTGCACGGCTGAGCCTGCAACCCAGGCATGTGCCCCATGACTGGGACTCGAACCCAAGACCTTCCAGTGCGTGGGCTGACACTCTAGCCACGGAGCCATGCCGGCTTTAGAATGGAGACTGGCCCAATGTCATTGCCATTTTTAAAAAAAATTATTATAGTGCTTGGGTAAAGTCTTTGACTTTTTAAATTTTCGGTAAACTGCTTGAGTTTGGGTACATATTTCTTTCCTTCTTTGTAATCATCCTCTTCAGTAGTTATTTTCACTGCACCTGACCTGGTCACAACAGATTCTTCCTCCTCCTCGCTCAGTTCCACATGAAATAGCTCCCCACTTTCCTGCACACGGTCCAGCCATTTAGGCACAAGGTCGGTCTCAATGTGGCTTCTTCTGTATATCCTTAGTTGTAGGACTTCTCAGCTAGATTTCAGGTGGTTCAAAATGATGGTTGTCCTGTAGTTTAGTTGCAGTTTTGATGTGGTTGCGGGAGGACTCCAGTGCCGCATTTACCTACACCATCTTTTTTTAAAAATTAATTTTGAGAGAAAGATATTGATTTGTTGTTCCACTTATTTATGTATTCATCATTTGATACTTGTATATGCCCTGACCAGGGATCGAGCCTGCAACATTAGTATGTGCCCTCGACCAGAATCAAACCCAGGACCCTTCACTACATGAGCTGAAGCTCTATCCACTCAGCCAAACTGACTAGGGCACGACTATTAATTCTGATATCTACGTTCCAATGCCAAATGCTCAAATCATTACCCAGCTTTCCCATACCATTTCAATAGCCCACTACAATAACCTCATTACCTCTCACCTCACTGAACTATTTCCTAGTACAGTAAAACCTTGGTTCTCAAACATCTCCCATCTCCAATAAGGAATCGAACCTGGGACCCTTCAGTCCGCAGGCCGACGCTCTATCCACTGAGCCAAACCGGTTTCGGCAACTTTTTTTTTTTTTGAACAGACACAATACCATCATCACCCCAAAAGAAAGAACAAGAACTCCTAGCACATGGTTTAACCAGCTGAGCTACCTGAGCAGGGCCCTATGTCACCATCCTAACCGGAAGCTTGCAACTCTTTTTTTTTTTTTTGAACAGACACAACACCATCATCACCCCAAAAGAAAGAACAGGAACTCCTAGCACATGGGGACAATACCCACCTGGTGTTTGAATTTCCTCCACTGTCTCATAATTTTGTTTTAGTTTTTTCACC